AGAATCTCGTGCAACGGAAAATTTTTTGCTCGCAAGAAAATGCAGGAAAAACTTTGGAAACGCGCCTAGTTCGATAACCATACAGCGACGCAAGAAATTGAACCGAGGTGCGGGCAATAAATCTCGGTTGAAGTTTCATAATTTCGCCTAGAACAGGGAGGGAAAGAAAACCCCGGGGTGGTGCTTTATTTCCATTATTTCGCGAGTGACGAAGCCGAGTATAGTAACTTTGTATCAACATCATCATCCCTGTCGACCTCGGGCCGAGGCAACAGATGAAATTTTTTTGACAAACGATCTCGTTGGACTCGTTTTTCATCAACGTCTCGCCTCACGGAATAAACGTTGAGACCAGTCGGGAAAAGCTGTGGACGGAAGAAGTTTCGCGAGCCACCGGATACTCAATTTCTCTCTTCGCGTTTTCTTCCCAACTTCAGGAATATTTTCGCACAACATCAATTCTCGGCGCCAGCAATCATGCCGACGGTTATTTTATTCAATACTTCCTGAAGTTCTCTCATCATGAAATAGTTTCGTTCGGCCCGCGGAACGCAGCGAAAACGGAATTTATTCCGCTAAATTCGATCAACAACGGTCTAGGTTTTCAACTGACGGTGTTCAGTACCATAGTATATAGAAACTCTACTTCGTTCTGATCCTTTCGGGCGTACTAAAATCATCAAAAACCGCATTCTCTATCACCTCTTACAATCCATTTTTGTCAACTACAGTATTCACTTCTTCATGCATTAAATATTTTATTCCAGTACAAGTAGGTTGGTCTCACTCTCCACGAATGGTGCTGAACAGGCGTTTTTTTAATTGCACAATCGCATGACCTGAAAAACTTGTTCCTTTGCCATCCAAGTCCCACGGGAAAAGCCATTTGAAAACAATTACAATTGGCAGGATATTCATCACTGGAAACTTTCTGGGGTAAGAGTTCAGGCAGCTAAAGGTGTCCGAAAATTTTTAAGGTTCATTCCATGAAAATGCACTAGAAGAAAAAAGATAGTCAAAGACGAAGGGAATTTCAACCAGGTAACGATGAGTCACTCGAGCAAAGCAGGCGCATAAACAGAATACGGGCTTCGAATTTATTCCAGAAAAGACGTGGGTCAACAGAACCCCGGAGTTTGAGAAATAGAGGAGAGAAAATCCTCTTCTGGCAATGCTAGAATCAGAGGAAAACGTCGTTGTCGTAGTCGTGGCTGTAGTCGTTGACGACGACGACGATGACGAGGGAAAACTTGCCGGGTAACGAACCGCGACCAGGGGCCCTTCATTTCCGCGCCTTTCTTTCCCCCGGTTTCCGTCGACGCAATAATTGCTCCACTTCATCAATCCCCCATTCTTCCTTTCTCATATTCTTCATTTTCTCTCTTTTTCTTTATATCATTCACGTCTCGCAAAACTCACTTCCGCTGCGCTTCATTTTCTCTCGAGTCAAAGTTTTATTGCCACACTTCATTCATTGTTTAACTGGGGTTCTAGTTTTCCAAAATTGTGTCGCGTTCCCAAGATTGTTGAGGATGATCTGAAAACAAATCCCTGCATCTGGTTCTGGCCGTTCATTTTTTCTTTCTAGGTGAAGTTGTCGAATTCGTCATGATTCTACGAAAAAGGATTGGATATCGCTTTTCATTTTTATTAACGATGTTTGGGAAATTCTTTCATTGACCCGAACCGTTGATGAACAAATCCCTTCGTGTAGTGTGAAATTATTAATCGTCTTCAGTATCGAATTCTTTGCACAACTACTTGAAAGTAATGGAAACTGAGAAAGTTTTTATTTTTTATAGAAGTCGTCACAACGGAGATTAATTGCACCTATGGAATGTCAGCCAATTTTAAAAGCTTTTTTTCAGCTCTGAGCCAATCGATAGCACGGAGTGCCAATCAGAGACCTTTTCCTCATCTTTCTTTTTATTTTATGCTAAAGGGAAAATCACGAGGGACAGATTCTCGCAGTTGATATTCCGTACTCTCTGTTTTTTACACTCAGATGAGTCTTCAGGTGACGGAAAAGTAATTAAAGTTTTCTTCAGATAACCTTGTCAGGTCAAGAAAATGACAAACTGGTGTTCTTCCCTTCGCCCATGCGTCAATTGAAAAAAATATGCTGGCATAAGCAATTTTGAGTGCTGGAAAATAATAAACTCGAACGGTCCCCTTCATACCTTGTCATTGTTTTCTTTCGCGTTTTTTACTATATACTTGTCCTCTACAAGGGAAAGAGAAGGGGAAGTTGAAGAAAGCTGAGCCAGTGTGCCTGGCAATGACGCCAGCATGTCGACGAGAGCAATTGGGGAGGCTCGGGGAGGGGAGCAGAATGTGAGTTGCACGTGCATGAAAGCGACGGCGGGAAAGGTGAGATGAAAAGGTGATGTCGTTGTCGTCATGCGTTCTCCTCGCTGTCGACTGGGTGACGACGCTGAGCTTTACGACTCCTGGCTGCAGAGGCAATTATCATTATGACAGCGATTCAGTCGTCGCGCCCCTGAGCGTGGCTGGCGACGCTGCAGCAAAGAAGAAGAAGAAAATCTCAGCCCAACCGTATTATTCTCCGCCGATTTGAGGAGCACAGAGAAAAAAGAGCGACGCGACATTTTCTTCCAAGGCGAAAAGACAAGAAAGAGCATTCCCTCGAGTTTACGAGCTGCGCAGTTCCCTTGGATTACTGCATTCCGATATTTTATGCGTACAGGTAGACTATCCCTACACCGAGTTTGCCTACGAATATTTTTCCTGTACAGTACTGCATAAGGAATTTCTTGTGGTTCTCATGGTTCTCAATTAATTAAATAGGCAAGATAGGGGGTTCTCCAAGAAGGTATTCTCCCTGTGATGATTGTTTTTCTGATCCCCTGAATTTCGTTGCAGAGAGTCCACCAGTAATAGGTACTGCATACGGGTACGTCTATATACAGCCCTGTAAATATTATTTTGATGCACTTCCTGTCAAGGCCCTTAAAAAGGTGATGTGAACTTTTTTTTTCTCTTCGAATTGGTTTTTGCAGATTGGAGGAAGCCATCATTCAAGATCATTTGATGCATCGAACACAAGAAGACCTTTATTACGACCAAGCATGAGAGGTGTCCGATTTGCGCGGACAACCCAGAAGAAAAATTCCACCACCCGTTTGAAAATTTAAATTTTACTTTGAATATTTCAATCATTCTCTAACAATTTAGGAGACAGCATGGCAACGCTCTCTTGATTCGAGAATCGAAGCATTTCACGTATTCCGATTTTGGTAGATTTCCTTTTTTTCTACATCCGAGTTCCCACTGACAATTTACCTTTGACTGTCAATTGCTGCCCATTGAAGATTCCGACTGTAAGAAATATTGAAAAACTCTACAGAAGCAGTTAATGTTATTCAAAAAAATTTATAATCATGCGCATTCATTCTTGATAACGATTGATGCAGTTGAATGAGACTAGACGTTTGCAATATAAAGTTTTGAACCAGGAAGGTATGGTATCGTCAATCAAATTAATGTCTTTAAACTAATGAGAAAATTGGAACCACGCGAGTCCATGCGATGGATTATTTCAAAATATCGTCTGTTCAATTTATGTTTCTCAACTAATGATGTACTTGAAGTGTTTCAGTCCAATACATTTCATCGCCATTCCATAGGTTCAATCAAAATCGCTCGGAATAAGGAATGTCTCGTACGAAATTATTACTTAGTATACAATTTCTACCCTGTGCGACCATCTGGGGTCCATTTTAGAATTGGTACCAACTTTTTTTTCTCCTTAAATTGCATCAGATCTCCAGATATTCCAAGTGTTACGGAGACGAGCACATCTGATGCCACGTGTCTCGAGGTTTTTCAACTGATCACTTGCCAGAGACTTTCAAGGGCAGAAGACCATCTCCTTTTCTTAGTCAAGGAAAAGCGTAACATACTGTATTTCCAAGCATTCACAGATGTTTCCCGTCTCGTTTCCGTGAGCAAACGAACTGCTGAAGGAGAAACACGGAGAACCCGTGAGAAAAACACGCCTTCTTCAACGATATTTTGTACACTTGCTTGTGTTTCTCCATAAAAGCACAGCCACACGGGAAACTCGGGGGTAATCGGGAGGAGCTAATAAAACGATTCCACTTGAGCCCTCGCCCCTCTCGAAATGACGCCGAGACATAAATACTGGAATGAGAAGATTTCCAGTCAAGGGGATTTTGAAAAAGGAAGAATTCAGTAAAACACCGAGAAACGATGGCTGTTCAACAAGGTTACCATCCCAGGCCAGGTGGGTCCACCCAACACCAATCCCAATCTCAGCTTCACATTCCCCGGAGGGGGGAGCAATAAAAAAGTAACTTTTCCACAGATTTGCTTTTCCGTTAATAAAACTATTGCAACGCACAAGTGCAGTTGAAAGGAGCCATAGAATTCCAGTCCCGCTTTGATTTTTCACTTCTCAAGGTGAAGAACAGTTGGCTAGAGAATATACGAGGACGCGCTTCAACTTTCCTCAACATAAACCGAACATATCATTCGACAGTGTTCGCCGAATTGCGCACGCATTAAATATTGAAAATTATATAATTTTATTCATATTTTCTAACATAAAATCGTAACGACGCGCCACGATCAATTGGGGCTCGAATGAATCTTCTGTTCAGGAAAAATGGGTCGCAAGCAATACTAGAGCTACCATGTCACTTTGAACAACCAATGAGAGAACCCATTCTCCAGGTGCCTTCTCACATTTGCACTCCAAATTTTCAAATTACTTTTTTAAAGTCAGACCATGCTTTAAATGTTTCATCAGGCATGGAAATACGTGTAATGAGACGACCGTAATAATTTGAATTCAACTTTCTCGAACTTCTGTGAACAAGCATTTTAGACGCGAGTTGCATTGATTATAGAAACAGTAACATCCTTGCTTTAAAGGCATAGAAGCGGAGAGATTGCGCCTCACATTTGCATAAATTCAATTACAGTAATCTGAACATGAGCGTTTTTCTTCGGAAAGGAACTCCATTTCCCAAAGAAATGTTTCAACTTCAATTGAGGTGTCTGATGTTAATCTTGAGCAGGAATCAAAACTACAGAAGGAACCTTCAAACCCGATTTCCCTGATCTTATTCAGGAAATATCGCGGAGGAGACAGGCAGGCATCACGTTCGCCTCGGTGAGGCGAAATCGCCGCCCGATTCCCGCCCCTCGAAGGAAGCCATGCGTATACAAAATTAATCCGGCGTCTTACACAAGGTTTTCCTCTCGTAATCCCCTTTTCCCGTAATTCTATCTCTTTAACCTCACTTTTTTTTTTCCTTCTAAATTCTCAATAAGCTCGGCTGCCCGCCATGCCGGAGCAAGCAGAGTCGGCGCTGGCGCGGCGCCGAACCGCTAGCGCCGCCATGCGGTTTAAGGCCACAGCCGAGGCCAAGGGAAAAGGGAAGGGCAAAGAGGCCTCGGCCAAAGGGAAGGGTAAAGAAGCTGCTGGCAAGGAGGCCGCGGGCAAGGACGCTAGAAGGCGGCGTCGTGGACGTGGCAAGGGTAAAGGCAAGGGCAAAGGCAAAGGGAAACATGGCAAGGGAGCCGCCGGCGAGGACTACGACTACGGGTAAAAAAAAAATCTGTCGTCGTACTCACGTAACTATCGACTCATTTTACTTATTAAAACTTGCAATTACGAGACTATGGATCGCATTCATGCACATTCAGTCCGTACCTTTGTTTACGACCGTTGATGACGTACGGATAAACGTACGAGCATCATTATCGTTTGATAGGTTCTACTATAAAACAAAAATGTGTTGAACTCGTTTTATTTTTTCATTGACGACGGACATGTACCGAAATAATCCTTGAAAATTGGATGAGCCTTACACTCGAGATATCTTGCCAGAGAAATAGGCCGCACCCGAATATGACCTTGTCATCAACCTGCAGAGCATGTCGTACTAATATAGTACTTGAAATGATGAGATATCTGTGACGACGAGCTAATTGATGCCTCACATCAGTTCACTTCTCAGATAATGAAAAAAATTATTTTCTCCTTCCGGAATTTTTTTTTAAATACCCGGAGATTTCATCTGCGTTGATGCTATTCTCTAACTCTTTTTATTTTGCTTATGAAGTTGTATATCTTAGATTGCTGCTCTAAATTCAGTTTTTTCACGCTTGCGCATTCGGTCAACCCACGTAAAAGCAGTATTTATGCCTAATGAACCGGTGCTCAAAATTTAAAATAATGAAAGAATCAGAAATGAATACAGAAATTAATCAACGACCGCTTTTTGAAAATTATGTGACAGATGTAGGATGTATAATTTACGCTAAGAATTGAAGCACAGCTCAAAAACTTCAATAATAATCTTTAATAATAAGGAGCGTCATAAGTAATCGTTAACTAAAAGGGAGCTGCAGATGCACATTTGACACTTTAAAAAAATCTAAAAACTGCATAAAAAACTGCATAGGAAAGTCGTCTACGAAAATTTGACGTCACATTCTTGTTCGTCAAATTTTTTTTTAGATGAAAAAGATTTACGATATTTCAACGGAAGATTTTCTTCCGCAGGCTTCCTACGGTCGGGGGAGAACCAGAAAATATGAGTTTCCCAATGAAAGTCGTGGACCGCATGCAAGACATACACATGATCGGCGGCAGTTTCGTCGAATCGATTGGCAAGATGATTGAGCAAGTGGCGCCGAGCGAAGTTACGGATAACGTCAACGGGTTGGACGGACCCGACACCGTTGTGCTCGTCGTCTTCCTGATCCTCGTATTCACGCTCTTCGGCATAATCAGCTACTACTTCCAGCGATTCATCTTCTATCACATCAAGCACTGGATCGTACGGATCGATCCCCACGAACCGTTCGAAGAGGCTACTCCCGAATGCAACTCTGAAGGAATTCCTGTCTTCCACAAAGTAAAATATTTTTCATTACATTTCGATGTCAAATTTATACTCAAAATCAAAATTGCTTCCGTTTTTCCATTCCTTTGGGAATTTTCAGGCTATATTTTTCCCTGACGATGCAGATCAATTCACGGCTTTGATCGGGGAAGCGCCCAAAAGTCTCGACGTTAAGAAAACACAAGCTTACAGGTTTACCTGCTTCTGTATTTATGTAGAAAATTTCGATGATTTAAAAAAAATGAAACCGAATAATATCAATTTCAGGAATTTTAGCTGAGCAGACAGAACTTTCAATTCATTTGTCGATGTTGCAATTCTTCAAGAATGACCAAGTGTATGTGTAGGCATTAATTTTTTGCAAATATTGAAGCAGTTGAGCGAGTACTGTACTACAATATGGCAATTATTTTGGATGTAGTAATTTATTAGGAATAATATCCGTGTTTTTTAGTGGCAAGAAATGAAGAATTCTGAGATAGCTCTAAAATAAATAGAGTAAGATCGATTAAAAATTGCTTGAATATTTTTTTCGCTCACATTTTTACATTTCACTCTTCACTGATTTCTCGAAGGTTTCTGAAGGATTTGCTGAATGATGCGTGCTGTACAGTGGAAATGGCTATGTATAGTATCACATCAGATGACATTGCAGAGCTTTTGCTCTGCTTGGACCGAAAAGGAGTCAAGATCCAATTGATATGCGACGAAGCCGTTTTACCTCTGGAGGGTTCGCAAATCCCGAAGCTTCAACAACACGGTAGATTTCATTCAGAAATCTCCAGTCCACATTCCTCTTCATTTTTTACATGCTTTACCGTATTTATAAATTGATGACAGGTATCGACGTGGCAATTTGGCCCACGACGTCTGCGTACATGCACCACAAGTTCGTCGTGATAGACAGCAAAACCGTGATTTACGCCAGCTTCAATATGGCCAATAACTCCTTTTTCTACAATTCCGAAGACGCGATTGTGACGAATGATCCGCGATTTGTCAAGGCCTTCCAAGCTGAGTTCAGCAACATCCGATATCTCATCACGCTCTTCCCGTTCTGAGGCGTGTGCCAAGTTCAGAATTTTCTTGAAGGCATTGGAAAATTTCTACCGTTATTCAAGTGTCCCCAATTATTTTTGAATTGCACGTGCAGATAGTTTTAATCCCATTTTTAACCAAATTTTTTCCTGATAGAGGAATTGCAGGCCATTCGAAAAATGCTTCAGTTTGATTTCCGTTTATTCTGTGTTCGCCGATGAGTTATTCGTCGATTATTTCTCCGGATATTATATTACGTCTACGATTGAGGTCATGTTCCACGGTTTGAACGTGACAATATCCAGCGATTTTCTTACTGCAAAAAAATCAGGTTATATTTACAAGAATATAAATTTCACTGTTTTGCAATAAATTACATCTTTTGTGCAGCCGTCGGTAATTATTCGCATTCCGGGTTTCCTCAGCGTGTGTATTGAAACCGTTTCGGATGAAGAAAACTGTTCATGAGAAACCGCTCATAAGAAGGAAATATACAAATGGTGTTATCTTGATGTGCTCGTCAGCAATCGGAGCAAGAAAAGGTTCATGGAAACGACGTGACGTAGAAATCGTCACGTTCCCCAGTGTCACCTTGCTCACGAGGCCGATCCGAGGATTCCCGACGGTGTTCTTCCATTCGTCATACGAAATAGTTTCGAACATACATCTCAAATTGTTGGGGATTAAACTAATGAATAAAAGGTTCAGGTCATACAAACCATTTGGTGCAATTATCATTTACGAGGGTGCGTGCTTGAATTCCGCTGAAACATTAGCTTGAACTGTTTGCCTAGCTTCGTCTCTCTCGCACAAGACAGGTAATACCAGTTTTCTTACGGATGGACTAATTTCCGCCACATTCCTTAGTTACGATTCCCACCCCCGAAAAAGATGGAAAGAAAAACCCTTGAATTCGACGACCGAAAGATCAGATTCATGAATTGTAGCATCAAAACAACACGAAAAATCGTGAGCAACAGTCAACCTATAATGGCATTCATTCAAATTTAAATTTTCATTCTTTCGGGTTGCCGATGAAACGAACACATTTTTTTTTTGTTGAATGATTGAAAAACGGATAACGCAAAGCCGGGGACCGGAAGCCAGAACTGAACTGAGGCCTGTGGTGACATTCAGATGACGTTTGCCCTGCCTCTGCTCACTCATATTTTCCCATCCGTTTTTCCGCGGCGTGAAGCGCGTGGAATTCTGAGGCATTCAGCACAAAAGGTGGCAGGTTTTCTCGTTTGCCAGGCAAATTTATGCAAATGCTTCGAGCCCGGGTTCGTCGCTATCAAAACAAATCAGGGCACAGGGAGCAGGTGTGGGAAAACCCCGTTGATCCTCTCGTTTTTCTTTTCTTACTATCGTTTACTTCCGCCTTTGTCCCAACCGAAGGTCCAAGCTGAAAGAACCCCCTTTTTTTTAAACCCCAGTTAGTGGAAGGAATACGCATGATCCAACTCATACGAATCGCGGCGAGAGAATTCTGATTGGCGTTTTGATCTTGACAGCGTTCCACAACCTCTGTAAAGTACGGTGATTATTATTACTTACAAGAAAAATGGGTGTTGGATTTTCACACTCAGTCGGATTATTAAATTTTAAACCCAGTTTTGCAAGCAAGCGTAGGCAGTTAAGATGATCAAAGTGGGATTACCTGGATCATTTTTCAGCCACCGGAGTTGCAAGAATGTTCTATCCTCACTACATTAATCGGGGGGAAAATAAGGCATGTATGTAAAACTCATTGCTCTTTCAAATTACTGTACGCATGATTTTTGAATTTAACTTTCAGAAGCTCACGCTGAAGACCCAGTTCAATCAAGTGCATCAGAAATTCCTCGAAATATTCTTCAATAATGACTCAACATGACAGAATCATCGATGTGCTTGAAGTGAAATGAAACGTTCAATAGGTAGAAAATTCCTACATGAGAAAGAAAAATGAATAAAAAATCGGAATTCCTACATGCTTTGATCAAAAGATGGTCGGGGAAATCGTTCAATACATTCAAAATGTTCTCATAAAACTTTGAAAGAATCAAATTAGAATAAATCTTCTCTACAGCTGCGGTCTGTTTTTTCCACCAGCTCACAAAATTCAAATAATTTCTGGTGCATGCTACATATTTATTTAACCTATAACCGTCATAAAAATTGCATCGTCGCAGTTCCAAAAACTTCTTACATCGAATATTTATCTTAACCACGAGTCAAGGGTTTTATTTTAGCGAAGTAGGTGAGTAGGTTATTTCCTTGATGATTCGCCCTTAGCTATTCCGAGACAGCGAAAGGGTTCCGAGATGAGCTCGACTAATTACTTTGCCAGGCCGACAGGCTCTCGTCGGGACACAGATTCATTCCAATATCCCGCGAGAAAAATAAACTTACCCACAGATAAACAATAAAAAAAAAAAATCAAGTCAGAGAAAGCTAGGATCCCTTTTCGGGGTTGACCCGACGACAGCTGTCACTCACGTCGCATGGAACACTTGAGACCACGCAGGCGTGGGTACGAAAACGAACGTTTGCTTGTCGGGACTGAAGCATGCAAATTTTTCGGGACGCGGAAAATTGCCCGGTGGGGGCTTGTGCTAAAAATGAGCGGCCTAACGGAGCATGAAATCCCCCGGGTGACACCGGGTTGCTGGGAATCAATCCGCTACTCGTCAAAACTTGGGCTCTTCTGTAGCAAGTGTTGCGGGCCTTCATTGTATCATCCACACTATTTTGTGTGTCATTTTTTTCCAGTTCGCAAGCCCAAAGGGTGAACAAATTAGCATGTATAAAAATGCATCCGATGTCTTTATCCGACCCTGTGGGAAACATGTTGAACAGCGCGGAAATGGTCACGCATATTTTTATCAATCAGTATCAACAAAATATTTCAGGCGACAAAAAACTGGGGCATCTGAAATGAACCAAAAGGAAATAAGAAATGCATTGAACCCTTATCGCCAACTCCAATTGAGAACACATGGTGCTTCAGACTTCAAAATCATTTTTTGTTCACGACGATTTCATCATTGTCTAAACATTATTGAAGGAAAGGATTGTGTCTGCTTCAGTCAAGAAATTATAATATATTGCGTTCAAATTTTCAAAATTCAACAGAATTAATCAAGCCGCTTTGTATGATTTGAAAAAAGAAAACCAACAGTATAATCCAACTTTAAAAAAATTGTGTGTCGGCTTCAACTGAGGAACGCGAAATCTGCAAAAATGTAAAGCTGAATGAAAGCTGTTCCTTTGTGATATCGAACAAAAAGAAAAAACAGTCCTAAACAATGTTCAAACAAATGATGAATGCAAGATCAAGCTTACGTTAATTTTACGAAAAAAAGATGGATCCGTTAAATACAGTACAGAATTCATAGAAATCAATGGAATGGATTTTTCATAGCTGAATCCGTAGAAAAAAAATGAGAAAAATTAGACCACATTTCACAAGATTTGAGTAGGTTCAAATTGAGGAAAACAAATCAGTTCCCGTTACAAAGCTCTAAAATCAGCATGGCATTGCGGCATGCGCAAACAAAATTCCACGAGAAAATGCAACAACAACGAAATCGGGGAGGAGAGCTGTTCGGGGATCAAATTTACTCCAGCATCCCCACGGGGAAAAACGTGAATCTAAAATTCTTCTTGATGAGTTCCAGTTTTTGACGGAATCCTGACTGTAAAAGAACGTATTTCAGAGAGGGGGGGGGGGCACAAAAGGCAGTTGCGAATGCATTATTGGACAAGAACACCACTCAACTTGTCCCGGCTATCAAATTGTAGCAACTCTTGGTCCGAGCCCTGTCAATACGCCGGATGGTCTCCTGCCCTTCTCGGACGAAATTTAATCTGAGCCAAGCGGACAGCCAGCCGATTGCATCAAATTTGATGCAACCTGGTGCACGGATTTTTTCCCCCTCTCCAAGCACATGGAACTTCGGGATATATAAGTGAGGAGATGGCTTTGAATGCCGCCGCGATCAGGGGGAATTTTTAAAACCTTGGAACGTGGTTTTTTTTTTTTTTTTTGAGCCGAGGGGCGATGAATCACGCGTAAATCCGCAGAGAACCTCGAAATCCTTCTCTATATGAAGCTGCACTGCGAGGACACTCCGCAAATACGTTCCAAGATAAAGACATCTTCCCCGACAGTCGCAATACATTTCGTTTCATTTCACGATATTTTTATTAAAAATAAATGAATAAATTAGCCAGTACTGTAGAGTACAGTACAGCGATCTTCGCAACATTATTCTACGGATTTCTCTCCGCCGGGAATTATTCAAAATAATCAAATCAATACCATGTGCCCCTAATCGTAAAATAGGTCTTCACGCAGGTGCCTTTTTCCCCAACAGATCAATGTCAAAAGGTAGTGCTGGGGTTTCTTCAATAATTCACACTTTTTCAAGTGCACCAACAAAAGATGTTATGTAGAAATAATGTTATCACGTCGATGTGCTTAGGGCTGACATAATGACTGGGTCTTATGTTTGGAGAAGCATGGGAAATCTCGCGACAGAAAAACAATAAATCTCGCATTCAATCACCAGTCTAGTTTTCTCACTTCACCCATTTTTCCATTTTCGCAGAATACCAAGACTCATCCACAGGCAAAGTAACTCCCAACACGGGTATACAGCAAACCTCAAACTTTTTCCCCAATCTTTCCAAGGATGAAAAAGCAACCACTAACCCGGATTCGCACCCTGAAACACTTCTCGTAGAAATGAAAATTATGATCAGCTAATTGGGAAGGGAAGCAAGAGAACTACTGCGCTGCACAAATATTCAAGCAAACGTTCTCCACTTCGTCTTCGAAATTTGCTCCGCATAACTTCTCTCGGGATGAAAAGAACTTATTTCTCGTCCTCAGTCACCAGTATACGCGATTCAGCTTTATTTTTTTTGTCGCCGGCGTGAAGGGAAGAAAAGGCATTTCGGAATCGCGAAGATTGGACTGAGAATAAGAGAGGCGCACCAAAAAAATGAAAACTTTATCCGAGGGACGCATGAATGGGCAAAAAATACATAAATGAGCCGTACTGTCCTAATCCAGTCGTCTCACGGATCGTCACACGACGCAACGGAGCACGTGGGACGCATTCGTCTCAAGGAATCGACACCGGCGCCGTCAAGACATCGTCACTAATTCCCGCCTCGGATGCGGTCTCGGTAC